AAATATGGGTATAGTGTGCAACTAAACATCAGAGAGATGAAATATGGGTATAGTGTGCAACTAAACATCAGAGAGATGAAATATGGGTATAGTGTGCAACTAAACATCAGAGATTAAATATGGGTATAGTGTGCAACTAAACATCATAGAGAGATAAAATATGGGTATAGTGTGCAACTAAACATCAGAGAGATAAAATATGGGTATAGTGTGCAACTAAACATCAGAGAGATAAAATATGGGTATAGTGTGCAACTAAACATCAGAGATATAAATATATGGGTATAGTGTGCAACTAAACATCAGAGAGATAAAATATGGGTATAGTGTGCAACTAAACATCAGAGAGATAAAATATGGGTATAGTGTGCAACTAAACATCAGAGAGATGAAATATGGGTATAGTGTGCAACTAAACATCAGAGAGATTAAATATGGGTATAGTGTGCAACTAAACATCAGTAAGATATAAATATGGGTATAGTGTGTAACTAAACATCAGAGAGATACAATATTTGTATAGTGTGCAACTAAACATCAGAGAGATAAAATATGGGTATAGTGTGCAACTAAACATCAGAGAGATTAAATATGGGTATAGTGTGCAACTAAACATCCAGAGAGATAAAATATGGGTAAAGTGTGCAACTAAACATCAGAGATAAAATATGGGTATAGTGTGCAACTAAACATCAGTAAGAGAGATAAAATATGGGTATAGTGTGCAACTAAACATCAGTAAGATAAAATATGGGTATAGTGTGCAACTAAACATCAGAGAGATAAAATATGGGTATAGTGTGCAACTAAACATCAGAGAGATTAAATATGGGTATAGTGTGCAACTAAACATCAGTAAGATATAAATATGGGTATAGTGTGTAACTAAACATCAGAGAGAGAGATAAAATATGGGTATAGTGTGCAACTAAACATCAGAGAGATAAAATATGGGTATAGTGTGCAACTAAACATCAGAGAGATAAAATATGGGTATAGTGTGCAACTAAACATCAGAGAGATAAATATGGGTATAGTGTGCAACTAAACATCAGAGAGATGCAACTAAATATGGGTATAGTGTGCAACTAAACATCAGAGAGATAAAATATGGGTATAGTGTGCAACTAAACATCAGAGAGATAAAATATGGGTATAGTGTGCAACTAAACATCAGAGAGATAAAATATGGGTATAGTGTGCAACTAAACATCAGAGAGATAAAATATGGGTATAGTGTGCAACTAAACATCAGAGATAAAATATGGGTATAGTGTGCAACTAAACATCAGAGAGATGAAATATGGGTATAGTGTGCAACTAAACATCAGAGAGATTAAATATGGGTATAGTGTGCAACTAAACATCAGAGAGATAAAATATGGGTATAGTGTGCAACTAAACATCAGAGAGATAAAATATGGGTATAGTGTGCAACTAAACATCAGAGAGATAAAATAATAGTGTGCAACTAAACATCAGAAGATAACAATTGGTATGGGTATGCAACTAAACATCAGTTAAGATAAAATATGGGTATAAGTATGTAGCTAAACATCAGAGAGATAAAATATGGGTATAGTGTGCAACTAAACATCAGAGAGATTAAAATATGGGTATAGTGTGCAACTAAACATCAGAGAGATAAATATATGGGTATAGTGTGCAACTAAACATCAGAGAGAAATATAAATATGGGTATAGTGTGCAACTAAACATCAGAGATAAAATATGGGTATAGTGTGTGCAACTAAACATCAGAGAGATAAAATATGGGTATAGTGTGCAACTAAACATCAGAGAGATAAAATATGGGTATAGTGTGCAACTAAACATCAGAGAGATAAAATATGGGTATAGTGTGGTATAGTGTGCAACTAAACATCAGAGAGATAAAATATGGGTATAGTGTGCAACTAAACATCAGAGAGTATAGTGTGCAACTAAACATCAGGATATAGTGTGCAACTAAACATCAGAGAGATAAAATATGGGTATAGTGTGCAACTAAACATCAGAGATAAAATATGGGTATAGTGTGCAACTAAACATCAGAGAGATAAAATATGGGTATAGTGTGCAACTAAACATCAGAGAGATGAAATATGGGTATGGTGTGCAACTAAACATCAGAGAGATTAAATATGGGTATAGTGTGCAACTAAACATCAGAGAGATAAAATATGGGTATAGTGTGCAGCTAAACATCAGAGAGATAAAATATGGGTATAGTGTGCAACTAAACATCATAGAGATAAAATATGGGTATAGTGTGCAACTAAACATCAGAGAGATAAAATATGGGTATAGTGTGCAACTAAACATCATAGAGATAAAATATGGGTATAGTGTGCAACTAAACATCATAGAGATACAATATGGGTATAGTGTGCAACTAAACATCAGAGAGAAAAACATTACTGTTTACATTAGCATAAACAAAGGACTTCTTGAAGTGAAGTATTATGAAGCAAAACGTCAATAATACCTTCACTGACTGCTAATGTTAATTGAATGATTACACTATAGAATATTCCCCATACGAAATTGGAGCGATGAGGTAGTCAAGTGGTTCAAGCGTTTGGTTGTCACGACAAAGGCCCGGGTTCGATTCCCCACATGTGCACAATGTGTGACCCTCAGGTGACCACGTGATATTGCTGAAATATTGCTGAAACTCAATCAATCAGTCAATCAATCAATCAATCATACAGATATGATTATGTTCATCCGAATAAACCGTGTTAAAAAGATAACAGGAAAGCGTTTTTGTTGGTTATTTGCCAGATACTACAAGGACATTTTTTAAACGATGAACACGGAACTTTAAACTTCCCTGTAGGATATGTAGAGTTTAGTGTAAACGACACGCATAGCAGTGTGGTCTGTGTGGACACACCCACGACAGCGGATCACACTCAGAAGAAAATATGCAAAGTCGCCATATCTAGCCGGTTTCACAGGAACACAGGTATGTAGTATCGGTCAATAGAGGGTATTTGGGGTTTCGGGGTGATCGATTGTGGTTAAATCATTATCTCATCACGTCGAAGGTCAGCGTTCGATTACTCACTATATACACGTTGATACAATGTGGGACACACACGTTCAGTGTACCCTTGTTTTGGCATAACCGGATTACTGTCAACGATATTTTAAAATTCATCTCCATGTAGGATGAATTTGTACATCATTTCATTGTATATAACTAAGTTAATTGTAGTACTATATGAAAACAAATTTGTCAAGACTGAAAAAACATATTTTTTCTAATATCTCGCTACATAATATAGCAGGGATTTGTATCCAATAGAAACCTGCAACCTGAAGGGTCGCAGATTTGACATCCTATGACAGCAAATAGAGGAGTATCTTGTACCATATATGCATTAATCATTAGTATTTGCATCAATATTGGGTCGGTCAGGATAGCTTAATTGTTACAGGGGCGATGGGGTAGCCCAGTGGTTAAAGCGTTCACTCGTCACGATATAGACCCGGGTTCGATTCCCCACATGGGTACAATGTGTGAAGCCCATTTCTAGTGTCCCCGACGTGATATTGCTGGAATATTGCTAAAAACGTCGTAGAACTAAACTCACTCACTCACTTATGGTTACAGCGTTTGGTCGTACGCTGAAGAACCGGCTTCGTTTCCATATAGGGTACAATATGTGAAGTCCGTGTCTCTTGCCCCTGGCGTTATGTAGCAATTAGTGGGATATTGCTGAAATGGGCTTCGTCACTAGTCCCACAAACACATGCTTAGTTCACTACACTGGCCTCCCGTAGTATGTGACAGAGGTCGCGTCCATGTTACACACATGAAACGAAGGGTCAAGTTGGTTACTTGGGGCACGACGAAATAGTGTCAAGTCACCCCATACTCATGTCAGCAGTATTTTCGCTTTGTGAAAATATCTGAAATATGTGTCGACTTAAACTAACCTGTAAGATGTTGTGAAGCTCGCTGTTGAATATATTTAACATTTGTTTGCAGGGTGTTTAGTTGTTGTGGGATGTGTTCGTGGATGGTGTTTACGTTGTGGCTGCTCACATGGCAGACCGGTGGTAAGTTTTGGTAGGGAAGGTTGTGTTGTGTTTGTAAACTTTAGTCAGATAGGTTTCACACCATTAATTGAGTGAGTGAGTATGGTTTTACGCCGCTTTTAGTAATATTCCAGCAATATCGCAGCGGGGGACACCAGAAATGGGCTTCGCACGTTGTACCCATGTCGGGAATCGAACCCGATTCTTCAGCGTGACAAGCCAACGTTTTAACCACTGGGCTACCCCTACGCCCCTCAAACCATTAAGCGAGACTAATACCCAGATATGTATATATAATGTCAAAATTGTTGATGGTTTTGTGATAATTCTACCTGTATATTCTTCCCGCTACAAAGGCGATGGGGTAGCCTAGTGGTACCACGCGGCGACCAGCTGAAACTGACGCGAATTAATTAAGATATCGATCTACTGAAAATATATTGTGTATTTAAACCTGCATCAGTTTTGGTGTCCCCCTTCAGTCCTCGAGGGTGGTGGGGTAGCCTAACTGTTAAAGCGTTCGCTTGTCATTCCGAAGACCCAGGTTCGATTTCACGCCACAAAGTTTCGGAAGTCTCCGTCGTGATGTTGCTGGAATATTGCCAAAAGTGGTGCAAAATCATACTCACTCATTCTTCTGTCTAAAGCCCTCAAGGGGATTTAGACGATACCTGTAACAGTGACCAATGCCAGTGTCTGTAAAGGAGTGAGAAAAGTATATTCATTGTTGACACACGTGCATACACGTGAGAGAATGTTTGAAAGATGAAGTCTTTTATATGACTTAAATATAAGAGCTCGCAGGCTCCTGACGGCCGACATTTATATACTTATACGAAACGCGTGCAAAATTATGTATTGCACTCGCTCTCGCTTGGGCAATACAAAAATTAACACTCGTTTCGTATAAATCGTATGACACACTTGCTCGTGTAATAATCTCTATATACATGCTATCTGTCTGTATGTAGTTTTCCGTTCAGTCTTGACATTGAACGGCAACGGTAACATCTATACTATATATATACCAGTACCTAAAAGCCTACGTGTAATGTTGTTCTATTTGTTGATCCTGGTTCCTTATCAACAGTGGCGAAATATCACCGGTTTTGCTACTTTGCCGGCTGGGCACGTTACCGTGCCGCCCCTGTGGCCTTCAACCCCGAAGACGTCGGCGTCAAGCTGTGCACACATCTTGCCTACGCCTTCGCCAACGTGGACGACTCCGGAACTAAAATTGTCCCAGCAGATCCCTTGGATGACCCAGACATGTAGGTGCCCTCTCATATATGTACGTGACAAAGCTCTTCGATCTAACGGGGCTTGTGTCGCATATCGTCCCTTAGATGTGCCACAATCCTCTGATTATGTTTCCAGGTTGGTCGGCACAATATCCATGAGAAATCCAAAGTGTAAGAAGGTCTGAGACTCGCATCAGTTATGGCTTCACCTCCAACATAACGTTACCATGCCCTGATACAACTGGCATAATGTTCAGGGCAGCATTAATCCAACTCACTCACTCACTCGACATACTGGTTGGCATCCAACTAGTTCATATTGGAAGAGTCCAAAGTGGCGCATGTCGAACGACGCATATGAAATTAGTAATCTTTGGACAAAACTACAATGTAACCTGTGAAGATCCGGGTTAGAATTGATCTTCAACAACCCATGCTTGTCCTAAGATGCGACTAACGGGATCGGGTGGTCAGACTCGCTGACTTGGTTGACACATGTCATCGTATCCCAATTGCGTAGATCGATGTTCATGATTGTCTGATCGAGACTTCATTATTTACAGACCGCCGCCATATAAATTTAGTTGGAATATTGTTGAGTGCGGCGTTAGACTACAAAGAAAGGAGTCCAAAGTGACGCATGTGAAATCAGTAGTCTATGGACAAAACCATAGTCACTAGTTCATTAATGTCCTAACAAAACCTTCAAAATGATGACGGAAAGGTCATTGTAATACATTAATCATTTTTTTGTTTCAGGTACCAATTTACAATTATAACGATAATTATCATGTAACTCATTAAAGCGATTATCACCTGAACGTGAACTGAAATTAACGGTTACTGTAGCGTCTAATTTCTACGGACACACGAATCTTTTCACATTTCACATTAAATTTTGTTTGTTATTCACTACTACAATCAGCAATATTCCATGATTTGACGGCAAAATGTAACTAGTCGAGTCTGGACAATGGAACCCAGTAATTGACATTATGACTGACTGACTGAGTTTGAATTTACGCCGCTTTTAGCAATATTCCAGCAACATCACGGCGGGGGACACCAGAAATGGGCTTCACACATTGTACCCATGTGGGGATTCGAACCCGGATTTTCGCCGTGACGAGCCAACGCTTTAACCACTAGGCTACCCCACCTCCCCAATTGACATTATGAAGATCCATATACTCAACAGGAATACCAAAACATCCATCAACTAAGTCCCGTTAGTTGCCACTGACGACCATGGCTTGCTGAAGATGCCTAAAGATACTCTGTCGGGGCGACTAATAACTTGGAGTAATGCAATAGAATCGGGCTTTCTTTAACTTATTTGAGCGATTAAATTAAATGAGCATGTGACAAACTCAGTCGCCCATTCTGATCATCCGATTCACATGTCATCAGCTCTGACAATACGGGCGTTGTTGCCGTAATAGCAATACTATTTTCTGCTTTACGTTTCAAGTTACAAGCGTTTTACCGATCTGAAGAAAAAGGACCCCGACCTGAAGCTACTTATATCTATTGGAGGTTGGAATGACAGTCCCAGAGTTTTCAGCAACCTCGTCTCTTCTGTCAACAACATCAATACATTTGCTGAAAACACCATCAGCTTTCTGCGAAGCCGAAATTTTGATGGCCTTGACGTAGATTGGGAGTTTCCGGCAGATAGAGGAAGTCCTCGTTCTGATAAACGTCGCTTTACAAGAATGATCCAGGTGATTATGTGTGCAAGAAACGAACAACATTTCTCGATTATTAATACAGTCAAGCACCTATGTGTTGAACTTCAATAAGTCAAACATACGGATAGCTTGTTGCTATATTTCTACCATTAATCGTTCTTCGGTTAGGTCGAACCTCGATTAACTCGAATAAAACACTTGGCACCCTTCGACACAACCGTGATTGATGTGAAATTGTTAATTGCTGTTCATTGGGAAATTGTTTTTGATAAATTTCATAGTTTATTGTCGCACAGATACTATTCTCATCGGAATCTATAAAGTATATACAACTTTCAATTTCTTTTGTAGCTAATACGCGAGGCTTTTGACACCGAGGCGTCTCGGACTGGCAAGGACAGACTCCTACTAACCGCTGCCTTATCCCCAGGGCGTTATCAGGTCAGGCTGTCGTACGAGCCGGTCAAGCTCGCCAGGTCAGTACTGATGTGTAGTTCTGTCCCTTACGCTGTCCTCGTCAGGTCAATACTCGTGTGTTGTCCCGTATATGGTCCTCGTCAGGCCAGTACTGGTGTGTCTCCTAAAATCCACACACTGTCTTTGTCAGGTCATTACTGGCATGTCTCCTAAAACCAACACATTGCCTTGGTCAGGTCAGTACTGGTGTGTCTCCTAAAATCCTCACAATGTCTTGGTCAGGTCAGTACTGGTGTGTCTCCTAAAATCCTCACAATGTCTTGGTCAGGTCAGTACTGGTGTGTCTCCTAAAATCCTCACAATGTCTTGGTCAGATCAGTACTGGTGTGTTTCCTAAAATCCTCACAATGTCAGGTCAGTACTGGTGTGTCTCCTAAAATCCTCACAATGTCTTTGTCAGGTCAGTACTGGTGTGTCTCCTAAAATCCTCACAATGTCTTTGTCAGGTCAGTACTGGTGTGTCTCCTAAAATCCTCACAATGTCTTTGTCAGGTCAGTACTGGTGTGTCTCCTAAAATCCCCACAATGTCTTTGTCAGATCAGTACTGGTGTGTCTCCTAAAATCCTCACAATGTCTTTGTCAGGTCAGTACTGGTGTGTCTCCTAAAATCCACACACTGTCTTTGTCATGTCAGTACTGGTGTGTCTCCTAAAATCCACACACTGTCTTTGTCGTTTCGATACACTATTCTCGCTCGGCTCATGACAAGAGCTGATCTTCTTCGCGGATTTCAGTTTTGTCCAAGACTGATATAGCTTTACACCCAATACCACGTCGCGACTCCATGTTTCATTACCTTCAGTTACCTGGATCTGATCAACCTGATGACGTACGACATGCACGGGCTTTGGGACGGACTGAAGACGGCGGCTCACCACGCTGCCCTCTACGGCACGCGCACTGACCGGACCCGCAACGTCGTAAGTGATTGTTCCTGTTGCCTGGTTACAGTATGATGTAACTGATTTAGACTCGTTTTACATGAAGCAAAACCACTCTCGTTCACCTGAACGCACTATGCAGGACTAAGAAGCCACACAGATTATGCCTCACAAGTCGCTCTTTTCCGTATCCTGCACGAAGACCATCGACCAGAATCATTGAGGTCTTTGGTCAAAGAATCCTTCCTTAATATTGTTTGTTTAAAGGCAATTCCCGATGTGGTTAGTGGGGAAATGGTGATGAATGAAAACTGTAAAGCATTGTACGGGGCCCATGTTGACGAGTGGTAAGCCTGGACACAGAAGAACATCTTCTTGACTACCAAATACATACATTCTGACTGTTTAAATGCACTCGACCCTAATCTTGCCATGCAAACGAACATCTTTAGTGATAGGCATATGTAATTCAGCATACTGATGGAATACTTACTTCCACATCACAGTATTGTTCCGTGTTGTACTGGGTTCGATTAGTTTCCATGTGTCATGGTCACTTCCTGATTTTCCGACGTAAGTATCAATGCTTGCTATTCTCGCCCCGTTCCACAAAGCGATCCTGGCTTTACGATGATCGTAAGCCTGTGTTAAAGAATTGGAGATATTCATCTCGCTTTATGGGACCCGGTCGTTTTGTGCAGGACTTCGCTGCAACGTACTGGGCCAGTCTGGGCGTTCCTAGGGACAAGATTCTACTGGGTGTCCCCTTCTACAGTCGGACGTATACGTTGTCCGAAGGGAGTGTGAGTGGACCCGGCAGAGCTGGTAACTACACGAGACACAGTGGGACACTTGCGTACTTTGAGGTGAGTGGGACACTTTATAAAACTGTGGGTGAGACTCTAGCGTACTATGGGATTATTTGGAAACTTTCGTACTATGAAATTAGCTTGACACTACTGCACAGTAGCGTAGTGTTAATTGAGATCGACACTAGAGTACTAAGAGTTTAACACTAGCGCACAAAGAGGTGCGTGAGACACAAGCGCGCAAAGAGGTGCGTGAGACACAAGCGCGCAAAGAGGTGCGTGAGACACAAGCGCGCAAAGAGGTGCGTGAGACACAAGCGCGCAAAGAGGTGCGTGAGACACAAGACACAGGTGCGCACAAAGAGGTGCGTGAGAGTACGGTGAGAAACAAGCGTACTAAGGGTTGATGAAAGAAATGAGTAAAACACAAGGTTAGTGAGATATGAGATAGACGAGCGTACGAAGACGTGAGCGAGACAGTAGCACACAATGATGTGCGTGGAACACAATCGTACTAAGAATCTGACACTAGCGCACTAAGAAATGAGTAGAACACAAACGCACCAATAGGTTAGTGGGGAACTTGCGTACTATGAGTTTGACACAGCGCTCAAAGAGGTGATTGGGACACTAGCGAATAGGTTAGTGGGGAACTTGCGTACTATGAGTTTGACACAGCGCTCAAAGAGGTGATTGGGACACTAGCGTGTCTGATATTTGTGCACTAGCACACACAGAGGTGCGTGAGACACAATCGTACTAAGAATCTGACACTAGCGCACTGAGAAATGAGTAGAACATAAACGCACCAATAGGTTAGTGGGAAACTAGCGTACTATGAGTTTGACACTAGCTCTCTAAGAGGTGATTGGGACACTAGCGTGTCTAATATTTGTGCACTAGCACACACAGAGGTGCGTGAGACACAATCGTACTAAGAATCTGACACTAGCGCACTAAGAAATGAGTAGAACATAAACGCACCAATAGGTTAGTGGGAAACTAGCGTACTATGAGTTTGACACTAGCTCTCTAAGAGGTGATTGGGACACTAGCGTGTCTAATATTTGTGCACACAAGCAAACTGACCGTGGGAAAGTACTGGCGCATCATGAGGACAAATGGTTGGAAAAAGTTTGCATATACGATGTTTGTAAGAATGCCAGCAACAAAAACCACAACTGTAACTAAAAGGACACTCAGTGATGTCCCTGTGTGCAGGTGTGCAAGATCCTGCAGGACGGCGCCACTGGTCGGCGAATCGACTCACAGAAGGTCCCCTACCTGGTCAGCAAGGACCAGTGGGTGGGGTATGATGACGAGAAGAGTCTGGCGGCGAAGGTGAGGCGACCCTCTGTGGTCAGGAATGCTTTCTTGATATCCCTCGGGATAGTTAGATCATCTATAATTATTATGTTTCCTCTTTCACATTCAATCCTAAATTATGTGAGTGAACATGAGTTTGAATGTTTTCAGCTTTTTTAAATATTTGATATCAATAACTTTGTATAACAGGACACGCGTGCCTTTAAGCAAACACCTTGCACCATGCTCACTAGATATAGATACAGAACCACATGATCATGATATAGATGGACTTGTGCTTTAGGAGACATTTCTTTGCATATCATTCATGATTTGTGCGTAAAACTTTCGGTGTTTTCCTTTTCCCCACTCTCATAAACTTTATAATAAAATATAACGTGTAACATTTCAAAAGTTTTTGCCTCGGAAGGTAGCATTTAGATAGCTTGGTTTTCTAAATGACTTATAATATCTTTTTTGTCATTTTAGCGCGCATTGTAACAAAGATTCTGTATGCACATTACATTTGAACAGTAAAACTGGAACTACGCACTGACAATAAGTCGACAACACACTAAGTATGGATTAGTGTGCACAATTTGCGATCTCTAGTGTTACTTGGAGACAGATAGAATCGTATTCATTCGCGATGTTTATGCAGATTCTTCCTGAATCGATTCTGTAAATAAGACTGAAATCTGAAGGCTATTTCAGAACGTCATTGAGTACACACGTTGAAGCAAAATAATTCTTAAGCTCATCTAGAACATTTTAGATGTCGTTTGTATTGAAGGTGCACTACGTTGTGGACCACGGGTTTGGCGGCGTGATGGTGTGGGCCCTGGACTTGGACGACTGCAAGGGCATCTGTGGCAAGACTTTCCCTCTAATCAACGCCGTGAATCGCGCATTTCGGACCTTCACTGGACGACGAAGATACATTCCATTATTTGGGTGACACACGATATATTGTGTATCTACAGCGTCAGTATGAAAAACAGAGCGACTTTACCCGCCGTTGTTCTATTGGGAACTTGCAGCGTAACCAAGAAAGTTTGTTTCTACTTGTATCAATGCTGCATCAGTATTCGCTGAGGTCATAAAACTATCAACGAGGCTGCCATTAAGTGGAACAAAACCGAGCCTACTTATGGCCACGTGCTTTGTTATTAGTTACGGATCCGCCAGTACAAAAAAACATGGTCACGACTTTTCAAGTAGACTTGCCTTGGCATGCGTTTGTGGGGCAGGATCCGCTCACTTTTATGCGAAAACCCGGTATCACCACTGTTTGAAGGTGATACCTAAACGAAGCTCAGGATAGAGTCCGATGGTACAATGGCTTCTGCTTTCAGAGAAGTTTTCGTATGATTATGTAAATGGTTTACATTTGTCGTGTCTATGAGTTTATTTTTTTATCAGTGGAGATGAACAGACATGTTATACTGTTTATTAATAATACTATGTTGCAATAAAATCAACATCCGTACTATCTAACATCAAATCATGTGTGAAACATTTTTTAAATTTATGATGATTTATCAGCACCTGTTGATTTCACGGCGTCTTCTGGTATGTGGTCTTACATAACGACCCGTGAAGATCGGATTAGAATTGACCTTCAGCAACCCATGCTTGTCGTAAGAGGCGACTAACGGGATCGGTGGGTCAGGCTCGCTGACTCTGTTGACATATGTCATCGGTTCCCAATTGCGTAGATCGATGGTCATACTGTTGATCACTGGATTGTCTGGTCCAGACTAGATTGTTTACATACCGCCTCCATACAGCTGGAATATTGCTGAATGGAGCGTAAAACTAAACTCACTCACCCACTCCTAGATAACGCCTTCACAAACTATGTTTTTGTTTGTCTGGTTAACAGGACAGTCAATAATAAAACAACTATGTCACGGCGGCCTCTAAATAATCAACTGATTATTATAATTAACATAATGATCAACGGTCCAAGGCGTTGTGACATGATGAAACGCAATCAACCTTATGACCTTGTCCATTCAGTCCCATTTGACGTTTAGGATTGGTTCCTATTCTATGTCAGTCTGTATTTTCTTGTGTAGTTACCATCTCCTGCTCGCCCTGAATTTTCATAACGGCGTGAAATAAAAAGATTTTCTTATCCGCCGCTGTGGAAATTTACACTGGGTTGTGATAAAAACATTCTCTTACCCTTCCCTGCTCGTACCAATCCCCCGACCAGGTACACCTTTCTTCATCTACATTTAACCCGTGAAGATCCGGGTTAGAATTGATCTTCAGTAACCCATGCTTGTCGTAAGATGCGACTACCGGGATTGGATGGTCAGGCTCGCTGACTTGGTTGACACGTGTCATCGGTTCCCAATTGCGCAGATCGATGCTCATGCTGTTGATCACTGGATTGTCTGGTCCAGACTCGATTATCTACAGCTGGAATATTGCTGAGTGCGGCGTAGAAGTATACTCACTTCCTCACCCACTCACTCATCTACATTTATTTAAAACTGTTTCCGCAGTAAAGCGACTCGATCCACATCAAAACCATTTATTTTAAAGAATATTACCATGTTTATATTTTCTTCCCCCTTTGTTTGGTGAGGTTGGAGATGAGAAACGCACAAAAAAATACATATGGACTAATCTCTCAAAGAGACTAAAACAATCTAGACTCTCAAAGTGGGTCAAACTGTAGTATGAATAGACCCGGATATATCCAGCAAAGGCAGCTGCTGCTTCACTACCGTTGCTAGTTTTATTACTTGGTTTACAGAATGACCGAACCTTTATTAACATTTATTCATTCGCGCTTAGTCGATTAATTCTTGCATGAAGTCGTTATAAGTCCTATGATACTCACACATTGTACATCTTTATAATCAATTAAGGTTTCTCTCAAAGTTTCCACCTTTTGAAATCAGAATCCGTAAGATAAAACAATCGAAAACTGTCTATCAAAAATTAGATATACATTTCTGCCATATGTCAGTTTTCATGTCTTGAAATCAAAATCCGTAAGTGAAAAAAATATAAAAAACTGTCTATAAAAAAACATAAAATATACATCGTTGGTATTTTATCAAGAACAGAAATGATTCTCAACATTTCCAATTCAAACTCCGTAATAACAGGCTTACACAGAAACAACGTCGAAATCGCAACACATCACACCAGAATATTCATGACACTAAAATTTGTGCTCTGAATCTCTGAATCTCATCAAAATGGTGATGGGTTTAATATTGATTAGTGGGAAACATTTTCAGGGCTGAAAGGTCGATATTTTGAATAATTCATTACGAAAAGAACATCGTTACACCCTCTTCCTGGGTTGGAGATGTCGTAAATGATGACAAAGACACGTTCCAAATGTTCATATATGTACATACGCCCTTTCCAGATTGAGTAAACACTGGATCCGTAACTGACGACTTATAATCATCGAGATCTGTATTATAAAATAAGCAACGAGGTTTCAACTTAAGGAAAGCTCTGAGTAATAGATCGATATTGTAAGTGTTTTTGTTAGTGGCGGTAATAAAAGCTGCGTCATGCTGTTGTACACAACAGGGCGATTAGGGTTGGTATGGAATGCTCTACGCGCTGACATACAGCGATTATGACCCTTACAATATACCATAGGTTTCAGTCCGAACAAGGCAGATAAAGCTGACAGGAACGTTTCATGGGGAAATAATATTAATGCTTATAGAAGCATACTTAAAGACATTTCTGAAGATTGTTCTTGCTTTGAAAACTGTATGCCTGTAATCGTATATATTTATTCATTATTCTGAGTGAGTGAGTAAGTGAGTGAATGAGTATTGTTTTACGCCGCTTTTAGCAATATTCCAGCAATATCACGGCGGGGGACACCAGCAATGGGCTTCACACATTGTACCAATGTAGGGAATCGAACCCGGGTCTTCGGCGTGGTGAGCTAACGCTTTAACCACTAGGCTGCCCCACTGCCCCTATTATTCCTGAAAATCGTGAAGACCCGGGTTAGAATTTGTCTTCAGCACCCATGCTTGTCGTAAGAGGCGACTATTTGGATCGGGTGGTCAGGCTCGCTGACTGGGTTGATGCATGCTATCATATTCCAGTAGCTCGGATCGATGTTCATGGCATAAACCACTGGATTGTCTGGTCGATTATTTACAGGCCGCCGCCATATAGCATGACTATTTGAGTGTAGCATTAATCAACAAAACAACAAACAAACTGTTGTGAATGTGAAAAATTTGGAAGTGGCGTTGCTCCTTTAGAACTGGAACCAGGCAGATATGTAAGCTTGACTGTTGAAGACAGAGTGTGTTTTAACTGTAAATGATATACAACTATAACAGTTAAAATGTACAATTTCTAAACTGGTCAACCAATGATATGTTGACTGTCCTTATTACAAATGAGTTATATTTCCCTGCTTTGCTTTTCAATATTTCAAAACAAAAAACATTAGCTGAATTGTTATATATTTATTCTTTGTGTATAGTTTTGTATATATTCTCATAAATATATATTTGTGAGTCTGTATTAATTTTTCTGTCTGTTTTTGTAATGTTTATGTACAGCGCGGAGGCGAGAATAAAATGACTGTCTCACTGTCTGTTTGGGAACATAATTTACAAGCAAGATTGATGGGTTAATAAGCAAATCTCCGAACTTGAAGATTGTTGGTTGGTCTGGTGGTTGATGCCTTGGCTTGTTACATTGATATCCCGGGCTCTATTCCCATAGAGAATTGTTATATGAAACCAATACGTGGTGCCCATCTGATGATGTTGGATATTATAAACGTAATGTGATATTTATTCAATCAATATCAATAAGAATTCCAGCATAGTTCAAATTCTAGTATTATTACGGTAAAGTGAAGTGAGGTGAAATGGAGTGGTGTTTCACGTCGTACTTAAGAATATTTCGTTCATATGACGACGTGCATGCGTGTGTATGTGTATGTGTGGCTGCTTGTACTAGCCCAGACTGAAGCTGGTTTATAGTGCTAGCCCACTGAGATACCATGCCGCAGTGAAGCATGAATACCCCACTCAGACACATTATACTGACTCCGAGCCGACCAATACTTGTTAGTGCCTATTAATGCCGAGCGCCAGACAGGGAACAACAAGTACCATATTTTTATGTCTTTGGGTAGGACGCAGCCTGGAATCGAACCCGCGACCTTCAGCTCTCCGGGCGGACACTCTAACCACTACACCACGGAGGCGGTCCCTTGCGGTAAAACACGGCTCCGCGCTAAAACTGACGCGAATTAATTAAGATATAGAACAACTGAAAATATATTGTGTATTTAAACCTGCATCAGTTTTGGTGTCCCCTTTCATTAAGCGGGGCGAGGGGAGCCTAGTGGTTAAAGCGTTCGCTCGTCATGCAGAAGCCCCGGGTTCGATTGTACAATGTGTGAAGCCCATTTCTGGTGTCCCCTATTGCTAGAATATTGCTAAAATCGTCGTAAAACTAAACTCACTCCTTCATCAAGCTGACGGGGCAGTGGGGTAGCCTAGTGGTTTAAGCGTTCGCTCGTCCTTACATGGGCACAATGTGTGACGCCCATTTCTGGTGTTCGTGTGTCTGCTGGAATATTGCTAAAAACTAACTCTCTCACTCACTGATCATGTTGATAGCTCTCGATGCAAATATTGTCCAAAGATGTATAAATACAAAGTCACTCACTTACCCCAAATACCATGCATGATAGGTATGTACTTAGCTTGTCAGAGGCGTCTCTCGCATTGCCCTGACATTAACTGAAACTATGGCCTGTCCTGCTTTGAGTGCATCACTTTAAGTTCAAGCGTTTGGTTCAGAGCAGGGCTAAACTGTGCGAAGCCAGTTTGTGGTGTATCCTACCGTTCATAATGGCTAGGGGGAGTGATGATGATTTTTATCGTGAAGCATCTACAATGTTAATGACACCTCCACTCCCCTGCATGTACAAAATCAATGACGACCCCCCTAGTACTTTGTATACACACACACACACACACACACACACACCCACGCACGCACGCACACACACACACACACACACGCACGCGCACACACACACACACACACGCACGCACACACACACCCCTTGCCTGTAAGTGCCCCAGTTCTGGAATAAAATCCACATTAATCTGTTATACGAAGTCAAATATTGTTGTTTTTCTGCAGATTTAACAAGCGCTTCCCAAAAATCCGATTTCTCCATTGGGAAAACACAGTAACTATTCAAGTCGAAGGTGGTGAGTGGGGTTTATATGGGCATAACCCGAATTAGGCATCTACGTTACTTCTATTGATTTCCAGATTTATAGACTGTAGAGCGGCCCTTCTAGACACAGTTAGCACACAATCGTTTCTTGCACATTAAACATTCAACGGAAAATGAAACAAACGTATAAACAGCGATCTTGTGCATGAAGCGTGGGTTGATCGATTTCCGGGTGACACGAAACCCACGAGCGAAAACTGCGAACGTTGAGCAGCGTAGA